TGACTTGCAAAACACAGCGCCATTCGCTCCCCATGATGCTCGCTGCACCTTACGGTTTATTCAATTTCACGCCACGCTGGCGCTATCCAAGCCCTTTCTTCTTGGCCCTATACCCCTCATTTTTTACCCACATCCCTCTGTTATCGCCATTCACGATTATAATAATGTCTAACCTTTGTAGAAAAAATGAAAGTTTTTGAGAAAGTTCCACAATTGGAGGGAAAGTTCCAAAATTTTGAGCGAGTCTTTCAAAAATATGTGTGAATTCTCTTATTCTTTGATGAGATATTCTGAACCATTTTACCTCATTTATCACTGATAAATAAAGTCAACTGGCGTTCACATACATAAGTGCTCAACACTAAGTTGCACACTTTTAAGCAAGTTTTTGAACTGGATACGTATTTGAATACTGTAAAGTGTAACACTTAAGTTGTACACTGAGAAGTGTTCAGCAGCGTGGTTAGTCATGAACTTTTCGACACTTGAAAGTATTCAAATATCCAGTTAATAACACTTAAAAGTATGCAACAAAGTATTGTGCACACCACTTGCACATTTTATACACCAGTGTACGAGAATTCCCCAAAGTGTCCTTCTCTGTGTTCAGTGTCTATCGTACCAACTCGGTTATCCGAAAGCTAGGAATTCGGGTCAATTCGGTCACCTTGTGGACTCCGTGAAATATGGAGACGGAAAGTGGGGGAAATTTGATTGCTTGCCTTCGATTGCCACGGCCACGGTCAATCAGGCGTCGCGGCGAGCAGTCGGGAGGGGGAGGAGCCCCTTCATCGGGGCACTCATACGTCCAAAGGTTGGGCCCGTATCGGAAGCCGGAAGGGTCACAGATACCGACAAACAACACGATCGGCCGCCGATTGGTAAATAGGCGGGAAAGTGCAGCGGGCTTTTCTTCTCCTTTGTTTTTTTAAGGAGGGCGCGCGTCCTTTGCGGTTGAGGTAAATGACGATGAGCTGGAGAGGCGACATGGTGACAGGCGAGAGAGAGGGGCGTCGTCGTCGTTTCACCGAGGGGCTTTAAGCACGCTGAAGGGAGAAAACTTGCCCGCGGAGGATTTTATAGTAGAGGCGAGCTCCCCCTCCTTCCCCCTCGAGCTCCCCTTGAGCTCGATGAAGACAAGCAGCCCCTATCAGCGCGCCCTCATGGCCCGAGCCCCACATACCTTGAGAGGGTTGCCGAGGGGCGTACCGCGGGGGCGGCGGAGGGGCGCGGGGGCGGCGGCGGGGGCGGGCCAATGAGGGACGACTTGGGGCCCCTGGTGTCGCGGCGTATCGCTGGCCTCTCCGCCACCTCGTGGCCCCGCCTGGCCTGGGCCTGCCCCCGCGCCGAGCCAAGCCACGCCCCCTGCCACTTCGCTCTCTCTCTCGCTCGGCCCGCTCGCTCCGCGGTCTCCGTCCTCTCGCCGCCTCTCTCTCCGCGAAGGGGCAGAGAGGGGGAGGAGGGGGGCAGGGCAGGACGGCGTCCATTCTTGGCGCCCCGTGCGGCGTCTCCTCGGCGCGAAGGAATCTCGCTTCCTGTCTGTCTTTACCGAGGCGTCCCGACACTGTTTAAAAGGACAAGAGTCCCATTTTTATTTCTAAATTCTTTTCATTCTCTTGAGTGACATTTTCCCATTATTTTCCATCCGAGTTTTCTTTTTCCCGGATCAACCTATGCGAGGTCATGCACCTCCTGTCTTCTCACTTTCGTGCTTGTATTTTTGTACGAAAAAAATCTTATTGTAGCAGTGATTTGCTTAATTATCCCGGTGGGCTCTATTGAGCATGCTACGGTCAAAAAACCGTAGCTACGGTCAAAAAGGTCGCGGCCTGTCGCTTTTTGTTGCAGGCTGCTGAGTGCATTTGCTCTGCCCACCCTGTGACCTCTGCATGGCCTATTCGCAACAACTTGTGCTATTAGGAGCACCAGGTAGATCGCTCCCCACCCCCCTCGCCTCCCCTAGCACACACGGCGGGCTCACCCGTTGACCCGTGGACTCTGGGTTCTGTTTTTCTGACCTCCCCTCGTGCACTTCCGTTTCGTCAACCCAATGAGCTTTACTGAAAGGATTGACAAAGGATGAACGTCTTCTTGTTTTGAGGAGATTACGTAATGACTCTCGCAAACAGAGTCGAAACCTTTTTTTGCTTCCCTTGGTACGAAAATATTTTGTATATTTTCATATTACTATTGCTAATAGTTCACATGTTTCCACGGCGGCAAAGACAAGGTCTGATTTCCTTGGGCGATTTCGACTACTGTAAGGAACGTATTTCTTAAATGTACAGTGTTGAAATGTGGAATCCACCGTAAGACAACCGGAGGACACGCATCTCTCACCCTTGTTTTGAGGAACAAGGTAGTAAAACGTCTCAATTTAACGACGATATTTTCTCATATTGTGTGAAATCGAAGTCTATACTTCTTCAGTTATGAAAGAACTTTGATCTTCGACCTTCTGACTTGTCTTCAATCGAGTTTTAGTAGTTTGGGGCAGCCTGTAGTTAGTTTGACCATTATTGATTCATAGTGTCCGGGCAAAGGCAAATTAAATTGTATCAGAAAGCTACTCTTTTTTTAATTCGCTAACTCTTAATATATTGACGAAATGTCAGAAATCACCATATATTTAGAATTAAAAGTGCTTCGTTTGATAAAAACTCTATCAACCAAACTTTGCCTAAAACATTTGTGCAGCGGCACTGATTTGTGATTGTGAGGTCACACATGGTTCTAAATATTTTTAAATCAATTTTTGCAAGAATCTGATTCTCGTCGCGTTCATTAAGCACAATTTTTTCTGAATGTACACTTGAGGTGGACGCAATCGTACACGTATAGCACTTCCTCCGCGGGTTACATGCATATATGCAAACGGTGAATCGAATGCTTCGCCTTCGCCGATGTCATCGTCTGCATTTTCGGGGAATACTAATGCGCGTCCTCACTCACCGTAGGTTTTCCCCATTCAAATTTCGTCGTTCGTTGTGTAATTTTGAATAGCACACACCAGCCGAATTTGCCTGGCGTGCCTGTTGCCCCCCTCTCCCCCTTTCCCTCCGCATCCCTTCCTGTCTAATCCCTGCCCGGCGAACGTCCGCGGAAGACTTATGACTTGGCGCATACTGAGTGGACACTGGCCTGCATATGAAAGGAGCAGAGAGAAGACGACGCGGAGGGGGTCGAATCAATATGTCGTGTCCGCCCGGTCCGGCCCGGTCCGGCCCGCGCTTCCCACGGCGGCTCAGGGGAGGGAGGGCGGCTACCTGGCCGAGACCGGACACTCGCGGGCCGCGGGCCGGTCGTCGCGGTGGTCAGCCGAGCTTGACCATCCCCTTATTCCAGCTCAGGGCGACGCAATATGATGTCACGGTCTTTGACTTCCTCCGATACGAAACAAAAGGTGCGTCTTGAACCCCTTGTTGGGATAACAAAGGTGCACCGAAGGCGGCAGCGAAACGGACGCACCGCGCGGCCGCCCGCGTTCATCTAGCAGCACATATGACAAAAGCGGCCTTGTTTTCGTATCGCACGGCCCCGCGAGCTGCGGGACGTTTTGTCGCTGTCGCGGATCTCCGCGCCGGCCTGGGCGGGGTTCGTTTTAGGACTGTACGGTTCGAAGTACAGGCCGCACCGATAGCTCCAGCCGGGCACCCTCTAACGTTTAGGCGACGTCCTGATCTAATTTTTCGGACGCCGATTGGGGTCACGAGCGCGGTCGGTGGGCCCCGCGCCTCATTTGAATCACGTGTCCAGTGTCCACGCGCGCGGAAGTGGACGCGATGGTCTGTTTCTGTTCAAGGCTGCGAGCGCGATAGGGGCGTCGTGGTATCTTCCTTTCGGGTAGGCACACACACTGCCGCTGACTGTGTTTCCACGTGAACTGCGGCGCAAACACGATTTCAACATACGCCATCGGTGGAGAGCGTTAGAGAGAGAGAGAGAGAGAGAGAGAGAGAGAGAAAGAGAAAGAGAAAGAGAGAGCGAGCGAGCGCAGGAGCAAGGCAGGAGGAATGAATGATACAACACCATCGCAGCCTAGGTATCCCTTACAAATGCATTATTTTTCTGATCGACTGGGATTAAGGATTAAGTATAGGTGTGGGTTGGTCTTGATAAGGCAAGACTGATGTATTTCGTAGAGTTCACTGACTTTCATTCATTTCGAGGGGGACTAAGAGATTTCCCCCGTATCACGTTAACCCGCGGGTTCAACCACGACGAGGCCCGGACCTACCCCAGCGTGACCCTGCGCCAGGACCCGTCGCAGTGTTTGCATGTTTGCTGGCGAGGGAGGAGGGAGGCTGTGGGGTTATCAGTGGGGTGGTCCTTCCCCCGGTATCAGTGGGGTCGAGCGGGGGGCGCATAGCCGACCCCGCCGGGCAGGTAGGTTTTCTGCGGGGACCCGCCCGACCGCCCGGGTCAGCCGTCGGGTCGGGGTCACGAGGGTGTCCTCGTGGTGCGGCACGTCGGCCGGGCTGAAGCGCCGCGGCGCCCCTCCGTACACGTACACCCACGCCGCCAGCCCTTGGCGGTGAGCGGGCGACGACTGGCGTCGCGGCCGGCGCGGCGTCGCGGCTCTGCACCGGCCCGGTGGCGCCCCTGGCGGCCAAAGAGCGCGGCCCGACGGCCTGTCCCAGCAGCCATACGCCTCCCCTCCCCTCGTGGTCGCCCCCACCCCCGGGGCCCGGTGGAGCCCGGCCAGCCCGACGGAGCCGGCGGAGCCAATGGGGGCGGGATCACGGCCCTGTGGGCGGCCTCTAGGGCGGCCGGGGCCCCGCTGGGGGCCCGCCGGGGCAACCTGCCCCCCCTCCGGCCCCCGCCGGCCCCGGGCCGCTGCCCTGGCCTGCCCTGGCCTGCCCCGGCCCGGCTCAGCAGGCTCGGCCGGGTCCGGCTTGGCTCTGCTCGGCTCGACTCGGCTCGGGTCGGGTCGGGTTCGGCTCGTGGCCAGGCCTCGCCGCCGGGCCGGGCGGGCAGGCCGCCTCTGCGGGACCGGCTCGGCTGCGGCTCTTAGCTGTGCACTCCGGGGTCCCGCCGGCCCGCCGCCCGCCCGCGGCCCGGGTGCCAGGGGTGGGGGAAAGGTCTCGGAGGAGGAGGGGCATGGGTCGGTGTCAGGGAGTCAGGGTTCAGGCCGAGGTGCCGCGCAGTCGGGACCGGACCGTGTGTGTGTGTGCGCGCCGCGCGACCCGTCTTGTTGTTGTTGCTGAGTGCTGTGCCCCGCGCGGCCCGCGCGCGCCGCGTGCTTCCCGTGACCGGACCGTGACCGGCCCCCGTGACCGGTACCGTGACCGGACCCCGTGACCGGACCCCGTGACCGGCACCTGCGACCGGCACCTGTGACCGGCACCAGTGACCGGGCCGAATCGTCGTCGCAATGGATCGCGAGTGAAAGTGCAACGACCAGTGATTGTGATTGTGTGTCATGTGTTAGTCAAGTGTCAGTCAGTGTTTGCGGGTCCAGCCCGCCCCCCAGCGTCACCATTATCCTTCCCCTGACGCACCCCCAGGCCGTGTGCCCCGTGAGCCAGGGGCCGAGCCAGGGGCCGACCCTGCATCCGGGGGCGCCCGGGGCCCCGGGGGGGCTCCAGTCCGTGCAGCAGGACACGACGTTGGACCTGGGCTTCTCGCGGGGCATGGCGCTGGTGGGCCCCCCGGCCTCGGCATGGCGGGACCCCAGTGCCATGCTGGGCCACACGCACCCGGGGCTCGCGGGCCTTGGCCACGGCCCCGTGACGCCCTGCGTCACCCCGCCCTCCACGGAGGACATCACCAACCTGGGTTCCGTCGTGCACTCGACGAGGGAGCTGCAGCAGAGCACCACCCCCGGCTCGCAGGCCAACTCGACTCAGAGCGGGGGCTCGTCGCAGAGCAACGATAGGAACCAGAACATTGAGTGCATCGTGTGCGGCGACAAGTCGAGCGGGAAGCACTACGGACAGTTCACATGTGAAGGTGAGTACCGGCCACAGGAGGACCGGGGTAGGACCTCGCCGACAACCCCACCCCATGCCGCCGAGGACCTCGTCGCCGTGCGAGGACGGCTGTCAAGCGGGATGACACCGTGACGGGGAGGGTCGTGGTCCCGGGGGAGCCGCCGAGGACATCATCGACGCTGTGGGGATTGGCGGGTCCCCCGGGAGGCGGTGGCGGCGCGGCGGCGCGGCGGGGCGCGTCTCTGATATGGGGTGCGAAGTGCCTCTGCGACATCATCATCGCCGGGGCTCCGCTCCGCCCCGCTCCGCTCCGGACGAGATGGATGTAAACACGCCGTCCTGCGCCCGCTAATTGAGCCGAGCCCCGCGTCGGACTCGCATTGAGGCTGTGCTTTGGGCGATGCGCCCGCCGGTCCAGCCCGTCGGACTCGCATTGAGGCTGTGCTTTGGGCGATGCGCCCTCCGGCCCGGCCCGTCGGACTCGCATTGAGGCTGTGCTTTGGGAGATGCGCCCTCCGGCCCGGCCCGTCGGACACGCGTGTCGTGTGCGCCGCGGCGAGAACCGGTTGCAAATAAAGTGCGTCGCGGCAGGGTGGGCGGCGGCCCTCCGCCCGTCCGTGCGTGCGTGCGTGGATGGCGGACGTGACTGGGGCTGTGCGATGTGTCGCCCTCCTGGCGGTGGTGGTCTCGCGGGGCCTGCATATGCCGCGCGCGATGCGAGGCGCGGATGATGCGCGCCGCGGCGGACAAGTTGGCCATGACACTAAAATTTTACCTCATCGGCCGCCGCCGCCGTGTGCGCTTGCTCTGGCCTGCTGTGCCGGACGCGGAGATGAGCGTGCGGAATATTCCCTTGTACGTAAGACGCCGCCGCCGCCGTGTGGCCCCCGTGTGAGTAGGCGTACCGCACCCGCCCGCACCTGCGCGCGTGCACCGAAACACCACCCGGTGCGACGTCGCGCAGAGCTGCACAGCTCCGCGGCCCTCCCCACGCACACCTGCTGGCCTGCTTGCACGTCCCCGCCGAGGAGCAAGCAGCGAAAAATTATACGTTACATCCGTGTAATACTTCCAGAGGCCGAGCTGGCGTCCGCGCGACGACGACGATTCCCCGGTAAAATTTCGAGCTTTACGATCCCGCCCTCCCCAGCCAGCTCCTTTCGAAGGTAATGTGAAAAGTAAATGGTAAATAGCGAAGAGGTGCAGGCCATGCGGTGAGGTCCATGTTGGACGCGGAGAAAATAAAATAAACCTGACCTCGTCGTCCTCATGTGTTTGGCAATCCCAGACGCTGAGCGACGGGCCTCAATTTGTGCCAATCACACGTAGGGTCGCGCGAGGTATCGAGGCGAGGGGCTGCTTGTTGTGCTCCGAGAGGGGATTGCCCCGCTGCACCAGCGCCGCACGCGCCCAGCAGCACGTGGCCTGCTCACCAGTTTTTTTTTTTTTGTAACGAAAAAAAAGTTTTTATTTTACATATTTTGTCAATCGCGGCATGGAATAAAAAGAGATCCCGTTTCTTTCGTATATATATATTTTTTTGAAGCGAATCGGACGCGAGTTTCATTTGACGTTTGACCGTGACGTGAGTCAGAGGTTCACTATAATATTGCGTAAAAGATTATTTTGTTTACGTTATACGACTGCTAAGTTTGTTTATGTGGCAACTCGAAGTCTCTAATACTTTCAGACTCGATTATGTTGCGTTTTACTAAGGCAGCTACGCCTTCTCTGACTTGTCGTGGGTTTTTACGGCACCCGAAAAAAAGGAGAGAAAGAAACAACATTTTGGCAAAAAGGCGGGGAAGAGGATCTGTCAAGACATTGAAGGGGAGGAACATGGGAAGAGAGTGAGAGCGCAAGTGGGGGGGAGGGGGAGAGAGAGGAGGCAATCCTCTCCGGGAAATTGCATTTGTTAACTTGAGAGAGGAAGGACAAAAGGGTGCGAAGGGGAGAGCCTGTGGTCTGCGTCCTGC